CAGAACTGTATCATCTGCGTATCTCTGGTAAACCCCACCCTTTCCACTCAATTTTTTTTTTTGAAAAGGCTGTACTGCCCGTCGGTTTTAAGGGTTTTGGTGTTTTTTTAATCCCCCTGACGAAAGTAATGAAGTGAAAGCCATGCTTTTGCCTCATGATGAAAACAAGTGGATTCACTTTGAGAAAATAATACTGGATTTAGAATACTTTATGAGTTGTGAATTAAGGTGGGTTTTTTAAATACTTTTGTCATAAATGCTACGTAAAGCTATGTAACTGTTTACACACATCACACAGAAAAATTCGTCAAAAATTAACCTTTCACACTGGAGTCTAGATAAGAGACTTCCAACTTTGCTTAAATTCAAGGGAAATGACCGTAGATGATTCCCACCACTCACTATTGCAGCTGCTGCTTCCCTTTGACCAGATAAAAATCTATAAGTCTTGAGTTCGCAACTATTGGGAGCACGGGGACGGAGCGGTTCTCCAGCTTTCTCACAACAGTTGCGAGGTGGGAAACGAGTGAGAAGATGTTGCAGCCCCCCAATAGTGACTCCTTGTACTTGTAGGTTTTGAGATCCTCCAAAATAAACTCTTCATAGATGTTAAAAAGATAAAGAAAGAGGACACAACCTTGTCTCACTCCTCTATAGATTTTAATGTTTTCTGATATTTAATTAATCACGACTTAGATTTAATACTTTAATTGCTGCCTTCTGCTGCCAGTAAAGATTTTCTATGATTCCTATATCTTTGCCATCAATACCTATCTTCTCTTGAACATTCAATCAGCCTGTTGTGATGCATTCTGTCAAAAGCTTTATAGTCAATAAAGCAAGCAAATATGTCTTTTTGGACTTGAATATTTGTCTGTGCTATTTTGTTCAGGCAGAAGATTCTTTCTCTGGTGCCACTACCAGACCTGGAGCCGAACTGTTCTTCTCCAATTTCTTTGTCAATTTTGCCATTGTTTCACCCCAAAATGACTTTCAAAAATATTTTCATGATATGTGGCATTAGACTTTAGACTGGCGGTCATGAAGTCCTCGCATTTTGTTGCCTTTTGTTTTTTGGGGGATGGTAATATAAGCCGATTGGAGTAGCTCTTCTTTTAATATGTTTATATCTATTTGAGTATAGATATCGTTGGAAAGTTCTGTTGTCAATGCCAAACTGATCTAATTGCTTCAGCATTTCCGTGTTTATGCTATTCTGACAGACCCCAGTGTCTAAAGTTTGATGATCAATAGAATCTAAGATACAAACTCTCTATCTCCCTCTTTCTCTCCCTCTTTCTCTCCCTCTTTCTCTCCCTCTTTATCTCTCTCTCTCTCTCTCTCTCTCTCTATCT